GGGATGCGACGGGCGGGCACCCCCGGGGGTGCCTCCCTCCCGCTGTGCTGCGGTTAGGGCAGGCGGGAAAGAATTTGGGGAGGAAAACGAGTTTTTGGAATGGACGGCGTCTTTTTAAGTTGTACCGTAGTGGCAGCTTCTTGGCGTTGGGGAGGCCGGGTTAGCACGGGGAGGAGGCGGCGGTGGTGAAGGGGGAGGACAAGCCCGTGTGAGGGGGAAGAGGAGGAGGAAGCGTATCGGAGGTGGCCGCAGCCTGGGGAAGGTCGGGGTGAAGCTGATGAGGGGGTCCGGAGGTGGAGACCCCCGTCCAGAAACCAGGTCTGCACCTATCCGCTGCAAAAATCGCATTGCTCCAGAATTGCGTTTAACACCAAGCTCAATAGTCCGGGCACGGCTGATTAGTTTTCCTTCAGGCAGTTTGTCTTGAACCTTCACCTAAAAGTTTTGGGATTTTTACTTTGGTGTTGTTTTTTTTGTTGTTGTGTTGGTTTTTGTTTGTGTGTTTTTTTTTTTTTTTCTGCAGTATTTTAGAGACTTCCTAATTCCACAGACTGGCATGCATGCTTCCTGGAACAGCAGCAGGCCAGGCATCTCTGTTGCTGCAGGAGAGGGAGATGTTAGGGGAAATTTAAAGTGTTGTTATGTTCGGAAATTTCACACGTAACTTTGCAGTGCAAAGGTAGAGGAAGACAGAGAGGCAGCACTGACGCGAAATGTTAAATGCTGGGATGGGGTGGGAGATGCAGTTTGGGCACTAAAATCTAATCAACTCGTGTCACTTCTTACTCCCAGTATAGGGGTAATTCAAAAATAATCGCTTAAGTGGCTGGTGGAAGCCTTGTTTGTTAGAGTGAAATTATACAATGAAACCATATTCTTGGGCTACATAGTTGCTGGTGTTTGTCAGTACACTTGGTAAGTTCCTGAAGGGCACAGTAGGATCGCAGTGTGGGACTAGATAAATCTATAGGGCTGCTGTTTGTCGGATCAGATGAAGATCACGTTCTTTTCATTCTATGTTGCAGAAACTACCCAATGCAAGCCACATGCGCAATTGTTCAGGTCCTGGGGCTGACACTTTAAACTGTTTTTTCGGTCATCTTCTTTCATTGTATCTGATTTTTCTTCTGGATTCTTGCTGCTATAAAGCACATACTTCATGCGATATGAAAATGCTTAATAATTTTCAGGGCAAGCCTGCCAAACTGACCTACTGCCAAGTAGCAACTGCCCTTCTAAGTAAAGTTATGGGGGGCCTGCTAGATGGTGCTGTTCGATTTAAATACACTTTGTCTCCCACTCGCTGTAACTAACAGCTGGAAATGTGAATTCCTTGTGTGTAGATTATTTTATGCAAAACACTGCAATGGTTTGTTCTTAAGTCATGGACTTGATGGATTGGTAACTTCTTGGTAGCATCTACTTGTGGATAAACACAACTTGAAATTTAGAAACATTCTTTTCCTTTCTTCCTCCCTCCTGCTTCCATAACCATCCTTTCCTTTATTGGGAAAAAAAAAAAAAAAAAAAAAAAAAAAAAAAAAAAAAAAAAAAAAAAAAAAAAAAAAAAAGAAAAAAGAAAAAAGACTAAATACTTGGTTTATGATGTGGAATACCATTATATACACTACATTCCAGATTTTTTTCTGTTACATCTTTTCTTCTTAGATCAGATCACATCATTGCCATTTTCATGTTTTCTTTCTGGCATCCAAAAAGCCATATTTACATTTTCTTTCTCTTATGGCATTGTTTTACAGCCATGCAATGCTGCTCCCAAGGTGATCCATGAGTTCTTCTCAGAAAAGTTTCCATTGAATTAAATAGCTCCTACAAAAATACAGCTCCGACTTATACATGAGATTGTGTTAATTTGAAAACCACAGAGAAAACATATGTTTGACTGATACATTAAGTACTTACTTAATCAAGAAGAGCGGGATTATAATTGTTTAATTTGAAAGTTTTTAGAACAGAACATGTAATTTAACTCTGTCATGTTTCCTCAAGGTTTTAAGTATCTAAAATTCGTAGCCAGTAACCAATCTCTGAAATACAGTTGTAATAATTCAGGGAAAAAAATAATAATAAAAAAAATACACTACCTTGGGTTTGGATGTCCTACTTATAAGGAACATGTATCTTCCCCATGAGGATGTGTGCCAGTGACAGGACTAGGGTGTGAAAAGAGTATTTTTCAAGTGTGGAAAAAGATGTGTGTTGTTCAGATGTTGTTTGTAATCAAGGATGTGATATATTTTACAGACCAATCCAGTGCCAAATATGTTTGTAGTGCAGTATCTCTCTATATGCTGTCTTTAATATTTATGTCCTTTGAGGTTATGTAATTTCTATTAAAATGAACAAGTTTTGCTAGTCATTTATAGTAGCCCTTGGCAAATTTTCAGTTCCAAAGATGGCATTCGTTTTATGGTCTTTCTCTTTGTCCCTTCTGTCTGACCCCTGGGGTAAATTATCTCTATTATGTAGCTTAACAACACATGTGAAGTGTGGATAGATGAATTCGGGGAAAAATAATACCTAATTTTATGCCAGAGAAGTACAGTACAGCACAGCTAGGTAAAAAAAGAAGGCACGCAGTACCTGTGAGGTGCAAAGAAAACTAAGAGAAAAAATCACAAGTGGTGTTGTGCACCCTCCTCCTGTTCTGGAACAGCTGGGACTTAATTCTGGGTTCAGGACACCCCTCTTGCATAAAGGATGGGAAGGTTGTATTAAACAGTAGCTTTTCCACCACTTGTGCTTTGCTGGGGCCAAATGAGGCTAATCTGCATTGTAAAAGGAAAAATACTAAAATTTTTCTAAACATCCTCTTTTTTTATCTCTTCATAAGCAAATGTATCTCTTTGGATTTTTTTCCCTTAATCCTTAAAATTGGGTTAATTCAGATTAGGAGCTTGAACATGCTGACATTTCATTGAATGGTGAAACTCTGTAAACTTCTTAGTTTGGGGAAAGGACCAGACTATACAAATTTTGTGTAGCTTTTCCAACAGGACTTTTATAGGCATTTACACTAGCCACGTAGTAGACTAGATAGAGACCACGATCTACTCTGAGAGGAAACGATGGATGATCAAAATTAAAACATAGAAGCAAGCATTAGAGTAGTTTATTGATTGATTTTCAGATTGGTGTGGGAGAGGACGTAAAGAAAATGAGAATATTTGATTGCTGCTATCATGGTATTCTTGCTCCCATTTTTTTTGCATGACCCTAGTTGTAAATGTCTCCTAAGTTTGATCTTGGCCAGTTGGTCACATGGGGGAAGATGGACATTTTTCTTTTCCACTTTGCTGCTGCTGCTTTGAAGAAGAAAGATGTCTCCTTTGTTGTCTCCCCTCAAGTCTGTTTTGGGTGGTTGGCTGTTTGGGTGTGCAGCTCCTTTGTGTGAGTGGTGTGGGTGCCTGCCTTGATAAATCTCTCTTCCCAAGCAGAAAGCAGAGTGAAATTTACACAACTTCTGTCATTTTCTTGTTGATGGCAGTAGAGTTCTCTGTAAATAGAGAAAAACCCACCAATGCTTTCCTCATGTAATTCTGCTGCTGTTTAAGAAGACTGAGATTTTCAAGGGCTTTTGAGGATTTGTGAATTTCTAAAGATAGGAGCGGGTTTTTGGGTTTTGTTTGGTTGTTTTTTTTCTAAATTTGGAAAGACAGCATTGTATGAATTTAGGTAGTTAGGTTACTTTTTTTCCACTGTTATGTTTGTAAACTACATAAAAAAAAAAGATACAGATTAAAATTTATTGGCTTATCCCTGGGAAATGGTGAGTTATGTTTCAATGCTCAGGTGGTGAAAGATACATTGATTCAGTCTTGACATTTGTACACTGATTTCATCCATCGTCTAACTTGTAAAAGTTGCAGGCATACTGCTCTGGGAGTCTACGAACATAAAGCTTTTCCCCATTTTAGAAGAATATACTTTTTAAGTATATTCTTCGCAGAAGGGAAGGTTCTGGAAATAGTATTTGTTGGTATTTATTCTTGATAACAGTGCTTCAGGTCCTCTTTCACACTGCACAGGTATCTTGGACAGTTTATGACTGTGTTTCAGATAATGTGTATGTTGCAGTTCTGGCCACTAAGGGTGGAGATTTTTTGGGGTGGAGATTTAGCAGGTGCTGATAGTCAGAACAAGAGGTGTGGTGGACCGTAGAAACGTAACTTCAGCATAGCAGCACCCTAAAATACATACCCAACTTTGAAGTGTACTGATTACAGCAGGGATATTTATTTCCATACAGTTAAGCACATACAGGTGCTTTATTGGACTGGCAAGAACCAAGGGGAAAAAAAGCTTCAGTTTTTGCATTACTTCCTCTATGCAGAAGGTCTGATCACGTAAGGTTGTTTTGGTTTTTTTCCTGTCTTTTTCTTAATGATGAACATAATGAGGTGTCTGATTGGAGCTTTTGTGGGCTCTGCAGTGCCCAGTAAACTTGCTACTGAAGAGCGAGGACTTCTGGAGCCCGCTCAGATGCACTGGCTACAGCAGATGCACTCTTGACTAGAGTGAGCATGATTCGGGCTTGGCTAAGGGGTAATTAAATCCTGCTGGAGGAGACGGTAGTTAACAGAAACCGGTGTCTATTAATAATTCATTTTGCTTAAATTATAGGCATACGATAATGTCACAAGTATTAAAGTAGCCAAACAAGATTTTAAAAACTTTACTAAACATTCACTGTTTGGGTGGAAAACCTATAATGTCATCTTTAAGTCTTATGCTGATTTATTAGATTTCTTTGTGTGTAAAAGTTCAGTTGAAATATCTTTGGCTCATTTTGAAAATTAGGCAGAGAAAAAGTGCATTTTCCAATGTTTTAAAAGTTCTCACAACTTTTACCATGGAAGACCAATAGTACCCCTCTCCTTTGAGACACTTGAAATCTAGTTGAAAAAGGATGAGGGATTTTATTCCAGGGATGTGTCTTTTTTCATTTGCATGACAAAGCATCTGAATTTAGCCAGGATACAAGCCTTTTCAAAAAGATCAATTTGCATATGCTTAGGGCTTACTAACTGTAATCGATGAATATTTCATCTTTGCTGGGAGCACAGCAGATACTGGGATCAGAGGAGTGGCTTGAGGAGGAAAAAAATGGGATGGGGTGCTGGTGGGAAGGGGAGTGTAAACATGAGCAGTTGGAGCCTGCAGCCCTGAGCTGCCAGGACGTAGAGATAGTGGGGGCTGGCTCCTGAAGGAGGATGGAGGAATCGGGGTGGAAATGGCTGGTCTGGAGAGACAAGACAAAGAATTGCTCCCTAAGGGGTCTGGCATGGGTGTCAGGT